TTAATTACATCCCCATTGTAAAAATAAACTTCTTTAAAAAAAAAAAAAAAAGAAACCACAACTGACAGAATACCTCATGCATCTGGAAGTCTTAAAACATGATTTAGTCAACCCACGGACAAAGTAAGGCAAAGAAAAATTGAGTAACTGGTCAAAGAAAAATATGTTATTAATTTCAGAGAAAACAAAAGCTGTGAATGAAAGAAAGAAAAGGCAGCTGCCATGCTCTGTGTGGTTCAAGTCCAGCCAGCATTCACTTTGTGTGCCGATGTCGGTTTGCTTCTTCACATTTATCCTCCTTCCTTCCCCACCCTGATCCGTGCTCCAGGAGTCTGACAGAACGAAATGTGGCAATAGCTTCTCTGCTCTCTAGCTTCCAGATGGGTTCAGTCAATGAGGAAAATCCATGAGAAATCAGAATGAGGGAGGAAAATGAGATAAGGATGTTTATTTCCTGAGTTTCTTTCTGTCGGACTGACTGAACAGCACAGCCAGCCAGCTGCTCCATGGTCAATGGCTCCACACCTATGTCTGTGCATCGCCATAAGCTCCCTTCCTTCCTCCTGTTGTGCCACATGCTGAATGCTCCCTCCTAGGGCCGGGGCACAGGTCTAACGGTTCCCCCACACCATGCTCTCATTTTTATAAGTAGTATATTAATTTTTCTCTAAATGCCCAATTTAAGTGTGTTGTATATTTTCTACTGTTATTATGACTGAAACACAGCAATTTTAAACATTGAGTATGAATACAACCTAATTTATGATATCAGTGTAATGAAAAAGGGATTAAAAAGTATGTGAATATATTCATACATATATGTATGTGTATATGTATATATGTTATGGAGGTATAGAAAAGAAAGCTAAACCCTCATTTTTCAAAGTGGAATATATCATGTCTATAATCAAAAATTAATAGCATGGCAATGCAAGTGTCTAATTTTAAGACATGAAGAATCACCTAAAAGAATTGAAAAGCAGTTGTGCCTGAGGAAGAACAAATTGAGTAAAGAGATTAAAGGACAACTTCTTGATACAACCTAATAAACATAAATAACCAACCTAAATCTTTAAATCAACTGCATGCATAACTCTTATAAAAATGAAAATTAAATACAGAGCTGGGCAACCCACTTTCCGGTCCCCGTTCCGTCTCTCTTAGACTGAAGCTTTCTTTCGCTCAATAAATTTTTCCTACTCTTAACCTCTGTTGCTCCTAGAATTCATTCTTCAATTTTAGAGAACACGAACTCATGTTTTGGATACCTAGTAGGTTTGGGAGTTACACCTCTTCCCCCTATATCACTTTGGAGGTCTTCCACCAAGATTACTGGTCAGGGGTAAGAGTTTGCTTTTGTTCCATAGGTTCCAACTTTGGTCTTTTTGCTTCATAGATTGTAACTTTTGTTTCATGGGCTCTGGCTATTTGTTTCACAGATTCTGGTTTTTGTTTCATAAATTCTGGCCTTTGTTTTACCTTTTGTTTCACAAGTGTTTTAATTTTAAGCTGTGTGTTTTAAATGTTTGCAAATTTCTTGTTTTTCTTATTCATTGTCTTTTGTTAAAACTACATTTTATTCTTGTTTTGTATGTGTTGCATTTGGACTTAGTTGCTTAAAAATGTTGTAAAATGGGTCTCTTATGAAATTGTCTCAGATAAAGACAGCTCAGGCTTTTATCTGTCCCTTATAGAATGTCAAACAGCAGTTACTCTGCCACCTAGTAACTGCCTTTAGGGCAGCTGCCACTCTCAAAGCAGAGGACAGGTCTCCAGTTGCCCTCTGGTGAATCCCCACTCCCACTGCCACCACTGGCAGGTGGAACATTGACCAGATAGGCAACTGGGTTCCTTTCGGGGACAGATCTCTGATTGTGTGGAACTAGCAGAAACTGAGGTGACAACTGAGGGTTCATGGGCAGGGCCACTCTCTGGCAGATACCCAAGGTCCCTCAGAAGAAACTAGCTCCCGACAGCCCGTCTGGGGAATAAGCAGAAAATCTCCACATCTTGTCCCTATCTGGACTCCTCATCGAGGTGAAAGGGGAACTCTGTCAGTGATCATCAGATATCCTCTGTCTCAGAGTGATCTGAAATGATGCCCTCAGAGCCCTTTCTTAAGCCTCCATTAAGAGTTGAGCTACAGGTTTGGACTGCTTTCTCTATTACTAGTAAGATCTCTAGACAAATGTAAAAATCTTTGATAGAGTAAAAATACCTGAACTTTTCTCCCCCCACCCCCAGGCATGGTCTTCACCATTTATGTGTGTTGGGGAGAAAAATGCCTTTTCTGATACGTTATGGACTTTGGAAAATTGACTGTGGACTTATAAAATGCTGTATGGTAATTCTGGGGGATGTTTAACCAGCATGAGCTTTATTTGGGCTTTTTCTCTCTGCTAGTGAGTAAAAAACTCCACTTAAACTTTTCTCCAACTTGTTGGGAGTTCATTTGAAAATCCCTTGTAGTCAGACCACTCCTCCTTCCAGAAAGTCAGACTAATGCAACTCACAAAAACTGTTTTGTCTTATACTAGGGAAAAGAGCAATCAGTAACTTGCATTTGTGTTTTTACTGATTCACTAGAATATGGGACTATCTTAGCCTTTCTCTTCATTCATGCATGCATAGGAAGTCAATAAAGTTGCCTTTACTATGTAGATTATGGCTGCTAGAAAGACCTATGAGTTTCAAATACTTGGTGAATTTAAAATGGACCTTAAAGGAGTAGCCTTGTCTTGCTGCTAATAAAAGTTGCCTAAATGACTGGATAGACAACAGAAATGTCTCAGAGCTCTCTCTGCCCTAGGGCCCAGGGCAGAATCTCTGACTTACCATCTCTGGAGGTGATCTCTTTTGCAGGAAAAGTGCTCTAATTTCACTGTTGACTTATTTTCCTCTCTCTCTCTCTTTCAAGGAACT